AGCAAAAAGCTCCTCTTCTGCAGCTGCTGGCAGGGCTGAGAAACCCTGGATAACATCAGATAATGCTCCCAGGGCCCCGTGCCAGGAAAACAGCGATCCCAAAAGGTAACTCCGACCTGATTCATGGATATTCATCTCCCCAAAGGCACAATGGAGCTGGAAAAGGGCAATAACCTCATCAGATAACAACGGAGCCACGAAAGCCTCACGCGCCCCGTGCTGCACAGGTGAGCCCTGCAGTTTTCATCCCAAACAGCCAGAAAAAGGTTAAACCAGAAAAAAAAAAAAACAAAACCCTAATGCTCTGAGGAATGAGAGGAGAAGGGAGAGCTTGTAAAATCACAGAGTGACACGCTCTGAGGGAAAAGAGTCAAAGCTGCTCAAATCACAGGGAAAAGAAATATATCTCAGGGTAGTCATGAAAAAAAAAAACAAACTAGATGTGCTTTTTTCCTTGGCAGAAAGCCGAGTTGGCACTTGCCAATCCCACAGGAAATGGCAGCTGGGTTATTTGCAGCCGTGCCCCCTCCTCCCCCGTGTTCAGATGTTCTGTCAGGGTGCTGTCACAGGATGATGTGGGGCAGGGTGTTTGGAATGTAAACACAGAATCCWGAGGGGAATCTCAGCGGGGCTGAGATCATCATAAAATCATGACATTTTAGGGCAGAAAGCTGGAATTTGCCTGACTTTATTTTCTGAAAGAGGGACACTGAGAAATCACATTGTTTTCCCCCTCCCTTCTCTCTGACCCAGCCCAAAATTATTTGTCTCAGCTGCAGAATTTTCATCCACTGTAATGTTTTTCTCCACCCAATTTTCAGGGAATGGGTCCAAGGACCTCACCATTCCCTGATCTCATTACCCTGAGGACAGGGATCGCTTTTGTAGGGAACAGCTCCACCCAGCCACGGGCAGGGTGCGTGGGGACAGCCATCCTCCACCCTGACGTGCTCCGGGGAGGCGCAGGGGGAGAACTCCAACATCTGGAGGAATTTTCAGCCTGTGGAGGTGGAGCTGCGGCTGATCCGGCAGGTGGCAGCCCTGGATTAGCACAGGGCTGGCTCCACTGGGGTGGAGAAAAGCGGGGAATTTGGGCTCTTCTCCCAAAGGGATGGGGAAGGAAAGGGAACGCCGTGGGTGGAGGAAAGGAGCAGCCCCGAGGTGAGGAGAGCAGTCAGTGCCAGGCGTCCTGCACATTAACAGCAATAAAATGGGCTGGGATATCAGTCCCTAGCTCAGGATCKAGCCCAGGGAGGGCAGGAGGGCTGGGCACAGCCAGGTGAGCCCTGGGCAGAGCCAAGGGGACAATCCAAGGGGACATTCCAGACCAGAGTTCAAGACGGGAAATCAATCCAGGCAGGGATGGAGATCCAAAGGGACAATCCAGACCAGAGTCCAAGATGGGAAATCAGTCCAGGCTGGGATGGAGATCCAAAGGGACAATCCAGACCAGAGTCCAAGATGGGAAATCAGTCCAGGCTGGGATGGAGACCCAAGGGGACAATCCAGACCTGAGCTGAAGCTGGGAATGCAGATCCAGGCCAGGGTGCAGATCTCTGGGGCCCRAATATGCAGGGAGAGCTGGGGTTAAGCTGGAGACCAGCACCCCGGGGATTCAGCTCAAGCCAGCCCTGGGCTGAGCTGAAAAGGGCTCCCAAGCCTGTGGGTCGGGACAGGTGCTTGTCCCATCCATCGCCTGATATTTGCGCTATCCCAGCCATCATCAAGCACTGGGATTCCCTCTGGGATCGTGGCTCCTGTCTCATCCCACACACGGATCCCTGTGGGGTGTTGGGGGCTGGTTTGTGGGGTTGGGGACAGCTCCGTGCCCTCTCCATCTCCTGATACCCGCTCCATCCCGGCCATCCCGGAGCGCGGCCYCGCCGCCCGGGGCGCAGGCAGCCAGGCGGAAAGGCCGATAATCCATGGGCCTAAAGAGCAGTGATTAACATGAAATGAAGACAATGAGGAGCGATCGGTGCTGGAGCGACAGCGGGGACAGCCGGCGGCGACAGCCAGCGGGTCACCGCCCAGCTGGCACCGCCAGCCCCGCCCGCTGCCCCCCTCTCTCCGGGGGACATGGATTTCCTCATCCCCGAGCGATTAAATGCGGCGAAATGCCATCAACTGGTCTTGGCGGTGGGAAATACATAATTTATATAGATAAAATTCATATTATATAAATTTTATTTTAAATTTATTTAAATCATTTATTTATAGATATAATTTWTATATATAATTTATAAATATAAAAATTATATCTATAATTTATATATATAAATCATATTATATAGGTTTTATTTTACATGTCTTTAAATTATTTATTTATATATAATTTATATATGRAAATTATATATGTAATTTATATAAAAATTATATTTATAATAATTATATATAGTTATTTATATTTAATTTATTATTTAATTTATTATTTATTCCACCAGCACGGGGTTCTTCTGGCCTTTAATGGCTCTGCTGCCCTGGGGCACATTTGGCTCAGCCAATGCTGCRATCGAAGGGATTTAATGAAACCCAAGGCTGCGGTTTTGAACAYCCAAAATTAAAACTGGTGATGAGGAAGGGCTGGGTCCAGCCAGGGAGGCACTGATGGATTTTAATTATTTTGAGCGGCTTTTCCTGCGACCGAGGGCTGCCTGTTGCTCCCGAGCTGSGGTTTGCTCCTGCTTTGAGTTAAAGTGTGGTGAATCTATCCTGGTTTGGGATTCCAGACTGTGAAAGGGATTTTTTCATGGTGTTGGGATTGGGAAGGAGAGGGGTGGAGCCTAAAAACTGTCCCAAAACTGAGTTCTCCAGATCCAGAAAACTTTTCCCAGCTGTCTAGAGCTTCCTCAAAACCCCAGAATCATCCAGGCCAGCCCAAAATTATCATCTTAACCCCCCAAAAGTTTAGTCAAAGCTGGGTTTGAGCTGCTTGGTGCCACATTTTAGGGTGGATTTTGATAATCCCTGTGAGTCCCTTCCAACTCATGACATTCCATGGTTCTGCCACACCATGGGAAAATCAGGAAAAATACAAAAACAACCCTCTAATGCTTGATTTGAAATGATAAAGAATCATCCCACATTGATTTTTTTGGCCAGGATATGCCAAGGGACATCCTGGATTTGAGGATTTCACCCCAAACTTTATCCAGTCCAAACTCACAGAGATTCATCGTTTCAAAGTCCATCGGTCCAGAGGTGAGAAACCCCCAGGATTCCCTTTCTTATTAAATCCGAATTTCTTCTCCTCTGATGTTCATTAAATTTTCATTCTTTAATTTTTTCWTTTTTTTTTTTCCAAACTGGGARAGTCTCCAACTCTGCCAGAGGCTCTGGGGTGGGTGTTTGTAGGTGACCACTGATGTTYGGTTGATGTCCCGTTGATTCCATTTATTTTTTGGGGGGATTTTTTTGGTTACTCCTGGTCTGTTGATACAATCCCATCTCCTAAAAAAAAAACTTAAAAAAAAAAATTCCCTTCCCCAAAGTAAAGTCAAACTAAGCCTGACTAGAGAAATAAAATAAATTTTAAAAGCTCTGTCATTTCCAACAGTTCTATGACCCATGAAGGCTTGGAAATGGGCTAAATTGGGAGAATTGGTGATTTTGGGATCTGGGAATGTCGGGGACAATGCTTGGCCTTCAGATTCCTAAAAAAAAAACCTGAGAAAAATGCAGTGGAGAGGATTGGGCAAAGCTGGCATTTAAAAAAAAAGCAATTTATGAGGAGAAAATTTATTTTTCATCAACAGGAGAAAATGAACGACAGCAAATGAAAATCCCCCCAATTTCACCTCCTCAAAGCTCCGAGGAGGGACAATAGGAGAGGTTTAATTGATGGATTTATTCCAGCTGGAGAGACTTTTCCAGCAGGGAAACCTCATGAAAAAATATCTGCGATTTTTCGGGCTTTTTTTGGGTTAGATCGCAGCAAAAAGAAAAGCAATTTTGGTTCAATCAACTCTCTAACAAAGAGAGTCAGGAGATGGAAAATTGTCGGCTTTGCTGGAGTTGAAAGATAAGATTGTGCTTCCCTGCAGCTCAGCTAGAACGAGATAAATTATCTTAATTCTGAGAGAAAATAATGTGCAATTAAAGTTGTTGGAATTGCGCTTTTAGGGGACCACAGGCACGGGGAAAGGATGAAACCTGCTCGTTATGTGATTCMAAAAGTGGAATTGGGGGGAAAACCCCCCAAAATTGTGTGGGGTTAAAAAAAACCCATTTCCAAGAAACCCCAAATCCCAGAGAGCACACRGAGCCAGGAAAGATTGACCAAAACRATCCCAAATTTATTTTGTCAAGGCACAAAAACCCCATGGGATCCCGGATTTTAAATAAGGACGAAAACCAAGGAGCCCTCGGGGCTTCCCGACCCTCCAGAGCRGGATCAGGATCGGGACTGGGACACTCCGATGACACTCAGGGTGTCCCCGTGACCCCAATAATGACGGGAGGAGCCCGTGTGAATAACGACTGCCCCAAAGCCCCAATCCCGACCCCACAGGGGACCTCACCCGGCCAGCGGGTGCCCCCTGAGCCCCACCCTTCCCAAAAAAAACCCAAAACAGCTCCAGGCAGGAAAAAAACCCCATTGGGATTTGGGGTTTAAGGCTGAGGTGAGTCCAGAAGGGAGCACAGTGTGAGACAGGAAAAAAGGATCGATCCTACAGGTTCTGGGGAATCGGTGGGATCCCATTCCTGTTCCTGATGATCCATCGGGATCCCTGCCCCGTTCCCAATGATCCATCCCCGTTCCCAATGGATCCTTTGGGATCCATTCCCATTCCCAATGATTCTTTGGGATCCCATTCCTGTTCCAAATGATTCTTTGGGATCCCATTCCCATTCCCAATGATCCATTGGGATCCCATTCCCATTCCCAATGATCCATTGGGATCCCATTCCCATTCCCAATGATTCTTTGGGATTCCATTCCCAATGATCCACCCCCATTCCCAATGATCCTTTGGGATCCCAGTTCCCGATGATCCATCGGGATCCCAGCCCCGTTCCCAATGATCCATCCCTGTTCCCAATGATTCTTTGGGATCCCATTCCCGTTCCCGGAGCCGCCAGCGCTCCGTCATTGTTCCCAAAGGTTTGGGTTTGGGAAGGGCCAGCAATGGGGGAATTTCCAGCCCAGGATGGACACGGGGACACGGGGACAGGGCAGATTCCTCATTTCCCTGGGAAGGGACAGGATTGGGATCAGGATCAGGATCGGGATCGGGATCAGGATCGGGATCGGGGTGAGGAGCGGCAGCAGCTCCGTGTCCTCCCTCCCAGGATTGTCCCCATCCGGCTCTGGGGGGGACCCGGCCCCTGTCAATCGATTTCCTGCTCCTTGGCTGAGGAGGGAAATTAAATAAATAATTAATTATTAATTATTAATAAAAATAATTTAAAATAATTGAAAACAATAGAAATTATATAAAATAATAAAAATAAATCAATAATAAAAGTAATAAATACAAATAATATAAAAATAATTGAAATAATTAATAATTCAAATTAATTAATCAATCCATAAATCAATCAATATTTGACTAAATGAATAAATTAATTTGGCCAAAAAATAATAAAAATCCGCTCACCTTCCTTGCTCTCCGCATTTTCCAGCAGCTGCAGCGCTGGGAAAACRGAAAAACATCCCAGGGTCAATCCCATCCCCTTCAAAGGGTCAATCCTGGTCCCTYTTCCCCAAAATCCCCATTTTTGGGGGGGGGAACTGACCCCATTTCCTGAGGGAATTCCCAGGGAACATTCCCATGCTGGGATAAAGGGAACGACCAAAAATCAAGGGATTGGGAGGGTTTGGGACGGAATTCCATCATTTTGTCAGGAATGGGGTGAATTATTAAAGGATTAGGTTGATTATTATGGAATTCTGTCATTTTATAAAGGGATTGTGTGATTTATTAAGGAATTGTGTGAATTGTTAAGGAATTGGGAGGTTTTATTATGGAATTCTGACATTTTATTAAGGAATGGGGTGAATTATTAAGGAATTCTGTCATTTTATTAATGAATGGGGTGGTTTATTATGGAATTGTGTTATTAAGGAATTGTGTAATTTATTAAGAAATGGGGTGAATTATTAAGGAATTAGGAGGTTTTATTATGGAATTCTGCATTTTTATTATGGAATTGTGTGGTTTATTAAGGAATGGGGAGGTTTTATTGCAAAATTCTACAAGTTCATTAAGGAATTGTATGGTTTATTAAGGAATTGTGTGATTTATTAGGGAATTGTGTGATTTATTAAGGAATGGGGAGTTTTATTAAGGAATTGGGTGATTTATTAAGGAATTTGGAGGTTTTATTAAGGAATTGCGTGGTTTATTAAGGAATTGTGTGATTTATTAAGGAATTGCAAGGTTTATTAAGGAATTATGTGAATTACTAAGAAATTGCAAGGTTTGATTAAGGAATTTTGTGATTTATTAAGGACTTGTGTGATTTATCTCGGAATTGGGGGTTTTATTAAGGAATTGTGTGATTTGTTAAGGAATGGGATGGTTTATTAGGAGTGGGGTGTTTTTATTAAGGAATGGAGTGATTTATTAAGGAATTGGGGGTTTTATTAGGGAATTGTGTGATTTATTAAGGAATGGGGAGGTTTATCAAGGAATTGTGTGATTTATTGAGGAATTTAGAGGTTTTATTAAGGAATTGTGTGAATTATTAAGGAATTGTGTTAATTATTAAGGAATTGTGTGATTTATCAAGGAATTAGGGTTTTTTCACCTGTCTTGGGCTGTCCCCCATCCTCATCGCGCTCCTCCATCCCTGGAAAAGAACGACCCCACAATGGGAACCCACCCTGACCCCATTGCCAGGATTTGGGGGATTTCATCGGGATTGGAGGGTGATGGTGCCCCACATTCCCAAAAATCCCAACCCCAAGGGACACCCCTGACTGGAATTGCATCCGTGGACATTTCTGGGGGAAAAATCTGGGRGAAATGGACATTTCTGGGGGCAAAATTAATGAGAAAAGGACATTTCTGAGAGAAAAATTTGTGGGAAAAGGAAATTTCTGGGAGTAAAGTCCATGGAAAAAGGACATTCCTGGGAAAGTGGGGACAGAAAATCCTGGGAACAAGGGGGCCGCTTGGAGCAGTCCTGGTTTGTCCCCKCTGTCCCCATTTGGGKTTTTTTCCATTTTCTCCCCATTTGGGTTTTTTTCCATTTTCTCCCCATTTAGGATTTCCCCGATTACCTGTGCTACCCCCATTTAGGATTTCCCCATTTACCTGTGCTGTCTGGCTCCTCCCCACAGCTCTCCCGTGCTTTGCGGTGGCACACGAAGCCCAGGACACCCAGCAGGGCCAGCACGCACAGGGCCAGGGCCACCGTGACCCAGAGAGCCACAGTAGGGATGGCCGGGGACTGCGCTGTGGCGGGAAAGGGTCGGGGTCAGGGGCAGGGTCAGTGGGGGATGGGATGGGATATCCCAAATATGGGGTGGCCCCATATCCAGGGTGATCCCATATCCAGGATTATCCAGGATTATCCCACATCCATGGCCTCTGCCGGTGGCTGGGATGGGACAGGGCCAGCGGGAAAGGGACAGGGTCACCAGGGTAGGGTGGGACAGGGCCACTGGGGAGGGGATGGGGCCACTGGGAATAGGGTAGGACAGGGACACCGGGAATGGGACAGGGCCACCGGGAATGGCACAGGGTGTGATGGGAATGGGACAGGGCCACCAGGAATGGGACGGGACCACCAGGGTGTGATGGGACGGGGCCACTGGGAATAGGACAGGGCCACCAGGAATGGGACGGGACCACCAGGGTGTGATGGGACAGGGCCATCGGGAATAGGACAGGGCCACCAGGAATGGGACAGGGCCACCAGGGTGTGACAGGAATGGGACAGGGACACTGGGGTGGGGTGAGACAGGGCTATTAGGGCAGGGGTGTGATGGGACAGGGCCAGGGGGGTGAGGTGACCGCAGGGACACTCAGGTGACCCCTGCAGACCCACAGAGCACCGACACCAAACAGAGCTATGGGGTCACCGCTGTCCCCTCACCGTCCCCTCACCGGTGATGGTGACCGAGGCGTGGCCGCGCTGTCCCAGCGCCTCGTTGACCACCAGGCAGGAGTAGGTGACCCCCGGGCGGACGGGCACGTGCAGGACGCTGCGCACCTCGAAGAGCCCCCGCGCATCCGCCACCTGCAGCGTGCTGGCGTTGGCGCTCAGGTCAGCGCCCTGCCCGTCCTGCCACACCACGATGGCCGCAGGGTAGCCCCGCGCYGCCCGGCACGTCAGCGCCGCCACGTCCCCCGGCCGCAGTGACTGGCCTGACTCCAGGTGAACGCTGGGCTGGGAGTACGGGGCTGGGGGGACAAGGGGACAGTCAGAATGGGGACAGTGGGGGGGGTACAATGGGGCGAAAATGGGGGACAATGAGGGGGGACAATGGGGAGGGGACAATGGGGGGAGAAAGGATGGGGTGGGATGGAGGGTCCAGAACTTTGGCGCAGTGATGGGCAGGGATGGGCAGGGATGGGCAGTGATGGGCAGGGATGGKCAGTGAYGGTCAGTGATGGGCAGGGATGGGCAGGGATGGTCAG